TGGGAAATATCCAGTCTTCTTCATTACCATGCTGATGATTTCAATAATAATAATAATAATAATATGCCATTTAGCAGACGCTTTTATCCAAAGCGACTTACAGTCATGTGTGCATACATTTTTACGTATGGGTGGTCCCGGGGATCGAACCCACTACCCTGGTGTTACAAGCGCCATGCTCTACCAGCTGAGCTACAGAGGACCACATTTCAAGTTGTATTGAATATATTTGTATCTGTTAAGACACTGAATACATGTTGTTTAGTATATTTACTACATGTAGTATGTTCAGTTTTTTCTATGAAAAGTTCATTTAAAAAGTTATGGTTTATGTAGATACAACATTTCAGTGTCAACACATAGTAACCAAAAACCTGATCTACAGTGCGTTCAGACCCCTTCACTTTTTGCAAATTTTATTACGTTACAGCCTGGACAAAATACCATATTTACATAAGTATTCAGACCCATTGCTATGAGACTCAAAATTGAGCTCAGGTGCATCCTGTTTCCATTGATCATCCTTGAGATGTTTCTACAACTTGATTGGAGTCCACCTGTGGTAAATTCAATTGATTGGACATGATTTGGAAAGGCACACACCTGTCTATATAAGGTCCCACAGTTGACAGTGCATGTCAGAGTAACCAAGCCATGAGGTCGAAGGAATTGTCCGTAGAGCTCTGAGACAGGATTGTGTCGAGGCACAGATCTGGGGAAGGATACCAAAAAATGTCTGCAGCATTGAAGGTCCCCAAGGACACAGTGGCCTCCATCATTTTGAAATGGAAGAAGTTTGGAACCACCAAGACTCTTCCTAGAGCTGGCCGCCCGGCCAAACCAGAGCTGGCAGCCCGGCAAAACTGAGCAATCGGGGGAGAAAGGCCTTGTCGGGGAGATGACCAAGAACCCAATGGTCACTCTAACAGAGCTCCAGTGTTCCTCTGTGGAGATGGGAGAACCTTCCAGAAGGACATCCATCTCTGCAGCACTCCACCAGTCAGGCCTTTACGGTAGAGTGGCCAGATGGAAGCCACTCCTCAGGTATGAGCACATGACAGCCTGCTTGGAGTTTGCCAAAAGGCACCTAAAGGATTCTCAGAACATGAGAAACAAGATTCTCTGGTCTGATGAAACCAAGATTGAACTCTTTGGCCTGAATGCCAAGCATCATGTCTGGAGGAAACCAGGCAGCGCTCATCACCTGGCCAATATCATCCCTACGGTGAAGCATCGTGGTGGCAGCATCATGCTGTGGGGATGTTTTTCAGCGGCAGGGAGACTAGTCAGGATCGAGGGAAAGATGAACGGAGCAAAGGACAGAGAGATCCTTGATGAAAACCTGCTCCAGAGTGCTCAGGACCTTAGACTGGGGGCGAGGGTTAACCTTCCAACAGGACAATGACCCTAAGCACACAGCCAAAACGACAAAGGAGTGGTTTCGGGCAAGTCTCTGAATGTCCTCGAGTGGCCCAGCCAGAGCCCAGACTTGAACCCGATCTAACATCTCTGGAGATACCTGAAAATAGCTGTGCAGCAACGCTCCCCATCCAACCTGACAGAGCTTGAGAGGATCTGCAGAGAAGAATGGGAGAAACTCCCCAAATACAGGTGTGCCAAGCTTGTAGCGTCATTCCCAAGAAGATGAGGCTGTAATCGCTGCCAAAGGTGCTTCAACAAAGTACTGAGTAAAGTATGAAAAATGTATGCACTCACTAACTGTAAGTCGCTCTGGATAAGAGCGTCTGCTAAATGACTAAAATGTAAATGTAAAGGGTCTGAATACTTATGTAACATGTGATATTTCCGTTTTTATAAATTTGCAAACATTTCTAAAAACCTGGTTTTTGCTTTGTCATTATGGGGTATTACTAATTAATCAATTTTAGAGTAAGGCTATAACGTAACAAAAGGTGGAAAAAGTGAAGGGGTCTAAATACTTTCCGAATGCACTGTATTTTACATATTCACACAGAGTTTGCAGCAAACAGTAAAATGTTCGCCACAAGTTTACCAAGTTCACAGTTTGCCACAAAACGAATCTGCCACAAATTTGCCAAAGGTTTGCCACAAGTGTTTGCCAGAAGCCCGTTTTTTTCGGTAAGGGCTGTCGCAGGTTCTCATCGTCATAGCCACCAGGCAGGAAGCATGGTCCAATGAGGGCACGGTGATAAAAACAATATAATGAAATGACAAAATTGTACGTTTTCCTTTATTGTTAACAACAGGATTTATTTAGCTGTTCAACCTGAATGTAATCGCACAGTGTTCTGCAGTATCTAACAAGATACCTCCGGTGGCTGGACAAGGCTGCAGGAGATTAGCCTACTTTTGTCATGGATCTGAGTTCTGACTGAATCGGTTGGAGGTAATGGGGAGACATTGAAGTTACAGTGTTATTTCCAGTCATTTACATTTACATTTAAGTCATTTAGCAGACGCTCTTATCCAAAGCGACTTACAAATTGGTGCATTCAACTTATGATAGCCAGTGGGACAACCACTTTTTTTTTATGGGGGGGGTGGGGGAGGGTGGTTGAAGGATTACTTTATACTATTCCAGGTATTCCTTAAAGAGGTAGGGTTTCAAGTGTCTCCGGAAGGTGGTCAGTGACTCCGCTGTCCTGGCGTCGTGGGGGAGCTTGTTCCACCATTGGGGTGCCAGAGCAGCGAATAGCTTTGACTGGGCTGAGCGGGAACTGTGCTTCCGTAGAGGTAGGAGGGCTAGCAGGCCAGAGGTGGATGAACGTAGTGCCCTCGTTCGGGTGTAGGGTCTGATCAGAGCCTGAAGGTAAGGAGGTGCCGTTCCCCTCACGGCTCCGTAGGCAAGCGCCATGGTCTTGTAGTAGTAAAATAATATAAACCTCTTCATTTGGAAGAATATAATTTATAAATGCATTAATGAGATTAGAACTACCGTATTTTATGATAACTAAGACCCTATTGCCCCATTCGTTTCTGATGTAACTGTAAAGCTACTGAGGGTTGCTGATTTCAGTTGAGACACACAGTTTAAAGTATCAAAGTTGAGAAGATCTGAAATGTCTTTCGCACTTAATTCAAAGATGTCATATGTTGTTTGTATGATGTTAACATATGAAAATCTTCCAGGATCCTTCAGGTATCTGTTTTTTGTTTTTTTTACACGTTACATTTTCGTTTTTTTTGAGCAGACTGTTTTCAGGCGAGGAAAACTGTAAGTCGCTCTGGATGAGAGCGTCTGCTAAATGACAAAAAAATAAAATATCTATATGAATAGCAATGCGTCAGCAATACATTTCTCTATTATCTTCTTCTCTTCCATAGTTTTTTCTTAGATCACAAAGCGCTGTACTCAGAATGGTGCAGTCACAATGACAAAGAAATCAAGACTTCAAGGACACAAAGATGATTCAAACTGAATAAATCTATACCTGAGTCAAACCGAGCTGAAAAGCAAGATCGTGACAAAAAATAATAATAATAAGTTCTATGGGACCTTAGACTATCAATATGAAACAAAGCATAGCAAACTGAAGAAACTAAACTATTTGGCAGCACATAAAGATGAATGCCCAAGCATGACTAAGTGAATGTTTCTGACTATCCACAACAGGTGAGTTGATGGGCAATTAGTCTCGCTTCACAAAACTCACTGGTCTACTAGCAGCCATCAATACGGTGGTAATATGATTTATGACACACGAGGTTGCATGTCTTCCCTGCTGTCTGTCTCGGCTTCTGAGCCCAGCAGGAGAAATAGAGCATATCATTCCACATCAAAGCAGGTCCTATCCTGTCTAACTCTACTGTAGATCAGCGTCTGTCAACTCACAGGGCTTCATCCTCTAACCATTACAAGACTCACTGGGTGTGGCCCAAATGGCACCCTATGGGCTTATTGTGGCCTTAAGCTACAATTAATGTAGAGTTAGATGGCTACGTCTCATTGGGCTCTGGTCAAAAGTAGGGGACTACTTTGTGTAGCCACTAACTCTTTCTTCGTTCCCTGTGGAGCATTATGCCACAATAAGCCCATGCCATCCCACGGATCTATCTTTTAGAGGCGCTGTGGGATAAACTCCAGTCCTGGGGACCCACCGTTAAGCACAATTGTTATGATCGTCCTCAGGTGACTGCAGAAAGTTACACAGAATCTGGAATCAGACAAAGTTACTCAGAATCTGGAATCGGACAGAAAGTTGGGTGAGGTTTATCACAGTTTTCCCCTCACATTTTGTAGTTTGAAATTCTGCCTGGGTACTTTAAATCAAACCAAAACAGAGATGATGTCTGCTAGTGACATTTAGTTTGCGGCAAAGTCTTGTGCAGGACAGCTTCCAAAGAGACACAGACTTTACACCTCAACCTAAGGAGTGCCTTGAAGTTTTTTTTTTTTTTTTTTTTTCGAAAGGTTTTAAAGACTCACTCCACAGATAAATGTGGTGCAGAAAGAGAGCGAGAGAGAGACAGACAGACAAAGAGTAGCAGTACACGTTATTTTAAAGACAGTGTGTGCAATAGCAAAGTTTAGCCTACTAAGATATGAGAACATTTTAAATAATAAAACAGACAGGATGAGGAAGCTGACTGACACAATCAGTGGAGTTTTACCCATGAGTCATTGAGCTGAGGGAGACACACAGGACAGTTAGCCTTCGCACATACAAACCAACCAACAAACCAACACAGTCAGATATAATACAGAGAGGGACAGTTTGAATGTCTCATAACTCATAGTAGACATATTAAACAAAACATTGATAGTTTTGTGACTGATGCAATGTACCATACATTATACATCAGTTGAAAAGAGAACTATCTGCCTCAATTATTAAGTGGACAAGCGTCCTAAACTCAGAGCCCTTTGCTGAAGTTAAAGGCTCTAACCAAAACCATTGGCTTTGCTGCCACCTGTAGGACTCGTCTTCTAACTCATTTTGTAGAACTACTAGTGGGCGGTTACGATTGCAATTTACCTGCCATTGCCATTGGCTTAGCAAGTGCAACGTCATCAACGCGTAAAATAAAGGAAGTGAAACCTAAATGACTCGCCTAGAGTTATTTCAGATTTATTCGTTCCCACATTTTGACTGTGTTTTCGAATAGGTGAGTACTGGGATTTATTCATTCACATCAAGGCCATTTGACTAAATCCGTCATTACGAATATATATCGTTGAGTTCCTTCTTCCTCTCTTGTTCTTCTTACAAGGTGAACAGCCAGGCTACAGGGTGTAATCACAGATAGAACAATGAGGGTTAGTTATAAAAAAAATATATTTGGTGTAATCATTAGCCAAACAGTTGCAAACAGTTGAGTTTTGCAACGAAAACGAGAGTTTCTATTGGACAAGTTCAGGTAGGTCCCTCCCCGTTTCGTTCCGTTTGCTTTCGTATGTTTTTGATCAGAATCGGCGTAATGAATACGCCCCTGTTATATCCATTGCACAGGAGAGGGACATTAAGGTGTTTCTGGACAAGAATACCAATGCTTAAAATCTCTTCGACATTTCCTGGTTGCTAAAAGTCTAATAGTTGGCCTAATTTCAGTTTGTCACAAAACAAGCAAGAGAGAATGTAGAGAGTCATTGTAACATCTAAACCGCTGTGAAATATCTTCAATAACCACAAATATAGCATTTTCAGACGTTTGAAGCTGGTGTACAAAACCAAAAGTAAAAGACGCAAAAACGAAACTTCAGAACGGGAAGCATAAAAATAGCATACATGGAACAGATCTACCGCTTCTTAAGACGTTGCTTTCAATGAAAATGACAGATTTATAAGTCACATTTCTATGGGAATTTGGGCTGTCACTCAAAAAGTTACATATTGCGGCTTTAAACTTTTACTGCAAATTAGCATTTAGACATCATTAGCACAGTCTCTCCAAACAAACCACATCAAAAATACTAGATTATTGGAAAACAATAAATCCTGGTCAAAAGTCCCTATGTAGTGTACTATTATAGTGGCATTTGCGAGAGGACACACGCCAAGAAACCTAGTAGTGTATCTAAATCAAATTGTATTGGTGACGTACACACATTTAGCAGATGTTATTGCGGGTGTAGCGAAATGCTTGTAACGTCTATGCCAGGGCAGTCCAACCCTCTTCCTGGAGATCTACGGTCCTGTGGGTTTTCAGACCAACCCTAATTTAAACACACCTGATTCTACTTATTAGCTGCTCAACAAGACCTTAACTAGCTGAATCAGATACGCTAAATTAGGGTTGGATTGAAATCCTACAGGACAGTAGATCTCCAGGAAGAGGGTTGGGCAGGCCCTGGTCTATGCTAAAAACGATTTCTGGATGAACAAAACAAAAGCACACGCTGTGTACTCAGCTTACCACGGGGCTGGCCTCTTGTCCTACAGTGAGCTACATGCAAGCGTGTGTCATCAGGGGCTGAACTTCCACTCATAATAATGGCCGGAACGGAATAAATTGAATGACATTAAACACATGGAAACCATGAATCGTACTACACCGGTTCTGACGCTCGTCGGATGTGGCAGGGCTTGAAAACTATTACAGACTACAAAGGGAAGCACAGCCGCGAGCTGCCCAGTGACACAAGACTTCCAGACGAGCTAAACCACTTCTATGCTCGCTTCGAGGCAAGCAACACTGAAGCATGCATGAGAGCACCAGCTGTTCCGGATGACTGTGATCACGCTCTCCGTAGCCGATGTGAGTAAGACTTTTAAGCAGGTCAACATTCACAAGGCCGCAGGGCCAGACGGATTACCAGGACGTGTACTCCGAGCATGCGCTGACCAACTGGCAAGTGTCTTCACTGACATTTTCAACATGTCCCTGACTGAGTCTGTAATACCAACATGTTTCAAGCAGACCACCATAGTCCCCGTGCCCAAAGACACTAAGATAACCTGCCTAAATGACTACCGACCCGTAGCACTGACGTCTGTAGCCATGAAGTGCTTTGAAAGGCTGGTCATGGCTCATATCAACACCATTATCCCAGAAACCCTAGACCCACTCCAATTTGCATACCGCCCCAACAGATCCACAGATGATGCAATCTCTATTGCACTCCACACTGCACTTTCCCACCTGGACAAGAGGAACACCTACGTGAGAATGCTATTCATTGACCAAAGCTCAGCATTCAACACCATAGTGCCCTCAAAGCTCATCACTAAGCTAAGGATCCTGGGACTAAACACATCCCTCTGCAACTGGATCCTGGACTTCCTGACGGGCCACCCCCAGGTGGTAAGTGTAGGTAACAACACATCTGCCACACTGATCCTCAACACGGGGGCCCCTCAGGGGTGCATGCTCAGTCCCCTCCTGTACTCCCTGTTCGCCCATGACTGCATGGCCAGGCACGACTCCAACACCATCATTAAGTTTGCCGACGACACAACAGTGGTAGGCCTGATCACCGACAACGATGAGATAGCCTATAGGGAGGAGGTCAGAGACCTGGCCGTGGGTGCCAGGATAACAACCTCTCCCTCAACGTGACCAAGACAAAGGAGATGATTGTGAACTACAGGAAAAAGAGGACTGAGCACGCCCCCATTCTCATCGACGGGGCTGTAGTGGAACAGGTTGAGAGCTTCAAGTTCCTTGGTGTCCACATCACCAACTAACTATCATGGTCCAAACACACCAAGACAGTCGTGAAGAGAGCACGACAAAGCCTATTCCCCCTCAGGAGACTGAAAAGATTTGGCATGGGTCCTCAGATCCTCAAAAAATTATACAGCTGCACCATCGAGAGCATACTGACTGGTTGCATCACCGCCTGGTATGGCAACTGCTTGGCCTCCGACCGCAAAGCACTACAGAGGGTAGTGCGTACGGCTCAGTACATCACTGGGGCCAAGCTTCTGCTGCCATCCAGGACCTCTATACCAGGCGGTGTCAGCGGAAGGCCCTCAAAATTGTCAAAGACTCCAGCCACCCTAGTCATAGACTGTTCTCTCTGCTACTGCACGGCAAGCGGTACCGGAGTGCCAAGTCTAGGTCCAAAAGACTTCTCAACAGCTTCTACCCCCAAGCCATAAGACTCCTGAACAGATAATCATGGCTACCCGGACTATTTGCACTGCCCCCCCACCCCCACCCCATCATTTTACGCTGCTGCTACTCTGTTAATTATTTATGCATAGTCACTTTAACTCTACCCACATGTACATATTACTTCAACTAGCCGGTGCCCCCGCACATTGACTCTGCACCGGTACCCCCCTGTATATATTGCCTCCCTACTGTTATTTTATTTTATTTCTGCTCTTTTTTTTCTCAACACTTTTGTTGTTTTATTTTACTTTTTTTATTAAAAATAAATGCATTGTTGGTTAAAGGCTGTAAGTAAGCATTTCACTGTAATGTCTGCACCTGTTGTATTCGGCGCATGTGGCCAATAAAATTTGATTTGATGTATTTGTTACCATTACACTAATTCCGCTCCAGTCATTACCACGAGCCCGTTCTCCCCAATTAAGGCGCCACCAAACTCCTGTCCACAACATCCACATCAACAAACAGTGGATGTGGATGTGGATGTTGTTGTGGAAGTTGGCCAGCAGTCACACAAGATTTGGTTTTAGGTTTCTGATCTGGGAGTTTTTCTCTGCTGAAATGTCTTATTTTCTATCACAGATTGACAAGATGAGTGACCTTCCCATCTTCAACCCGTTGGTCCTGATCGGTGTGGGCTCCAGCTTCGCCTTCTCTGGCTTGTTTTACCACTTATACAAAGACAAGAAAGATGACCTAGTCAAGCTGAAGGTAACACACACACAAACTCATGAAGGTGAAATGCAGTACAGTTTCTGTGTTTTCATTTTTCTCTCCCGACTAGGAAATACCCAAATTCATCCCGGATCAACACTTGGTAAGGATCCTCAAGGCATCGCCCCACAGAAAACTGCAGTACGTCGCAGTGGAAGGTAAGTGGAACCCCCCTCCCCCGAAACTGATTAAACAGCCTTTTGATTAAATAATGTGTTTTTATTACCAGTATGCATTTAGAGACGTGTGAAGTATTCTTGTTCCAGGTTTGGTCCAGGCGGACGGTGAGACTCTGGCCAGTCAGTTTGTCCCAAGATGCTTTGGTGTGATCCAGAGGATAGCTGTAGAGGAACACTGGAATGTGTGGAACAACATCACTAGAACATGGTAAGTACACAGAAAATTCATTAGCCATAAATACAGCAATATGTACACACACACTACATGACCAAAAGTATGCGGACACCTGCTCATCCAAAATCATGGGCATTTAATATGGAGTTGGAACCACAGCCCAGCCCTACTGGCCTCGATCAAGAACTACCAATGACCAAGGGAGGGACTGGGTCTGGGACTGGGTCTGGGTCTGGGTCTGGGTCTGGGACTGGGACTGGGTCTGGGTCTGGGTCTGGGACTCCCTCACAACATCTCTCTCTCTGTCCCCTGACTGCCCCGTCTGTGCCATCAATACATACACAGAGCACGCCTCAACCCTTGCTCTCCATCTTTGGGATTTTCCAACCAGTTCAGCAACCCAACAACTCTCGACTTAACCTCCCAACCCAGCCCTCGGGGTTCGTTTGCACCATTGTGTGATGCTTGGCGTGTTCAGGAAGCTATAGAGACAGTGGTTGGTGATGGGTCAGGTCTTTATAGATTTTTATAATCTTGCGCATACAATGCGGGTAGATTTAGATATTGGCGGGTAAGGTCTTTCACCAGCCACGTTGGCGGGTGGTCAGTTTGCAGGGCTCTGCAGTGCCAGCCTTACATTTGCGAATAAACAGTCAAAGGTCAAGTATGCATGCACATGTTAGAAAAATAATGCAGTAGCTGTTTTCAAAGTATTTCTGCTCTTTTGCATCATAGCTAATTGCGCAAATAAATACTAATCCTATATCCAACCTCGCGCAGCAACACTGCATGGGAGCTGAGCTCACTGAGTGAAGTGCTGATAGATACAGTTTTGTAGGCATGAAAGTTAGTCTAATTTACTTGAAAGTCTACAAAGTGAGACTTTGTCCTCGTGTTTCTTGGCGATTTTAAATTGTTTTGTTCACAAGCTCGGTTGTTTTTCAACGTTAGTTTGAGTCCGCTGCTTAAACTGAGTGAAGAGACGCCATAATCAGATCCCAAATATCACACGTGACAGAACTCGAGTGGCCCCGTTACTACGGTAACCTCCCGCTCTTAAAGGGGCAGCTGGATAATTGTCTCAGATATTTTGATTTAAAAGACAAAAAAAAAGATATGAAATGTACTTCTTACTAAAACATTTCTTGTTCTAGAAACATTACAAAGCATGGTCATCTTTTTTTTTTTGTAATTATGTCAAAAATATTTTGGCTGGTAAAAAAGATCTGAGTGGCTGGTAGATTATATATGTTTTGTCCATCTACCTTGCCACAATGGCTGGTGGACCCTAACAGTACATATTAGGCCCTGTTTATACTCATGGTTTTATGGTTTACTTTAATCATATACTGGGACATCCACGTCTGTGAAGGACATGACATGCAGACAGATGACTTTAAACACAACTTTGCTGGTCATGAGGACCAGGAGATGACTGCCACGGTGGGATTCCTGTCTGTCTGCTGGTCCTGAGGACCAGAGGATGACTGCCACGGTGGGATTCCTGTCTGTCTGCTGGTCATGAGGACCAGAGGATGACTGCCACGGTGGGATTCCTGTCTGTCTGCTGGTCATGAGGACCAGAGGATGACTGCCACGGTGGGATTCCTGTCTGTCTGTCTGCTGGTCATGAGGACCAGAGGATGACTGCCACGGTGGGATTCCTGTCTGTCTGCTGGTCATGAGGACCAGAGGATGACTGCCACGGTGAGATTCCTGTCTGTCTGCTGGTCATGAGGACCAGAGGATGACTGCCACGGTGAGATTCCTGTCTGTCTGCTGGTCATGAGGACCAGAGGATGACTGCCACGGTGGGATTCCTGTCTGTCTGCTGGTCATGAGGACCAGAGGATGACTGCCACGGTGGGATTCCTGTCTGTCTGCTGGTCATGAGGACCAGAGGATGACTGCCACGGTGGGATTCCTGTCTGTCTGCTGGCCATGAGGACCACCATGTAAAGACAAAAATGTGGGACTCCTGTATGTCTGTCTGTGTATGTTGAAGTGCAATGAGTTTGACGGTATGTCAGTCTGTTTTGACCACAACACCTCTTAAATGTGATTTACTTTTCAATCCTTTTGTTTTCAGTTTGGCTTTGAAATGAAAAATCAATCACGTGAGACATGTCCTGTTGGTAAATAGTTAGATTAGTGATGGCTGTATGACATGAAAAATGTATGCACTCACTAACTGTAAGTCGCTCTGGATAAGAGCGTCTGCTAAATGACTAAAATGTAAGATGTAAAAGTAGTTCTCCTGGCATCCGCCAAACCCAGATTCATTTGGTCGGACTGCCAGATGGTGAAGCGTGATTCATCACTCCAGAGAACGTGTTTCCACTGCTCCGGAGTCCAATGGCAGCGAGCTTTACACCACTCCAGCCGACGCTTGGCATTGCGCATGCTAATATTAGGCTTGTGTGCGACTGCTCAGCCATGGAAACCCATTTCATGAAGCTCCCGACGAACAGTTCTTGTGCTGACGTTGCTTCCAGAGGCAGTTTGGAACTCGGTAGTGAGTGTTGCAACCGAGGACAGGCGATTTTTTTAGGCGCTATGTGCTTCATCACTCGGCGGTCCCGTTCTGTGAGCTTGTGTGGCCTACCACTTCGCTGCTGAGCCGTTGTTGCTCCTAGACGTTTCCACTTCACAATAACAGCACTTACAGTTGACCGGGGAAGGTCTAGCAGCGTTAGAAATTTGACATACTGATTTGTTGGAAAGGTGGCATCCTATGACGGTGCCACGCTGAAAGTCACTGAGCTCTTCAGTATGTTTTTGTCTATGGAGATTGCATGGGTGTGTGCTCGATTTTTATACACCGGTCAGCAACGGGTGTGGCTGAAATAGCCGAATCCACACATTTTGAAGGGGTGTCCACATACTTTTGTGTATATATAGTGTAGTATGGACATATGGAAACTAAATAGTACTATGGAGGCTATACACTCTTGGTGGTCCGGCTCAAAGTGGAACTTGGAATCATGTAGGTCTTCAAGAATCACATTTTCTGACAGGAGTCTACATCACCTAAAAGTAATGCAATTGCAACACAATTCAGTACATACTGTAAATTCAACACCACCATTCATCCCTCTTCTCTCAGGAACACCAGAATGACCAACAGGAAGGAGACCAACAACGCCGTCCCCTTCAGTCTTGTTGAACCGGGCGCCTGCATCACCGACATCACCGTCAAGGTCCATTCCCCTCTGGAGGCTTCCGGCTCGTTCCTGGAGAGGGTTCACTGCGGGGTCAAACACGCCCAGGAGGGTCTGGTGAACGTGTTGTTGGAGGGCCTCAGCGGCGAGCGGCCCACGGTGCAGAAGGAGACTGAGGAGCTGCTCCGTGTCGGGACCACTATGACGGGTTTCGGGGAGGTGGTGCTGGAGGGAGGGACCGTGAGACTACAGGCGCCACAGGACGGCCGCCGCTACATCCTGGTCCCCACGGACTACAGGGGGTTCATAGAGGGACACGAGGGCACGGCCAATCTGTGGAAGGGGCTGACGGCGCTGTTTGGGATTACGGGGGCATCGCTGCTGGCCGGGGCGGTTTATAGTACGATGGGGAAAAAGGACAGAAGGGACTAGTAGTGATGATGCCCAAATCGACCACCTACCCTCCTGCACATCTAAAATGATTGGATAGGTTTTAAGCAATATGGGGAAAATTCAACTCAGCCTATCAGAAGGTGAAGTATCGCTTAAAACTTTATCCTAGTTCTTTGTAGATATGGACAGTGCATGGTCCACAATTGTAACCGTGGTGATTTTACAGCTGATCAGTCATTCATGATGGACCAAACCAAATATTTTGTTTTAATGAGGGATGATGTCCTAGCTGAATGGGAAACGTCTGTAGTGAATATTACTAAAACCACTCCGAATTTACAGGATTATGGCGGACCATAGGTATTGCAAGACTGTGTCTGACGAATCCCGTCCACAGCGTATCAGTGGCACATCAAGTGTTTTAAGTAGATGCTTCAACAAAGGAGTTCTTATACTGGAATGTAGACCAGTCGTTTAAAAAAAAAAAAGAAAAAAGTTCTGAATAGATTATTTTTCAAATATTTAAGTTTTAATCGTACTTTCTTTGAATCATTCCTTGCCAGTCGCTGCGGTCCACAAAACTGGTGATTGTAAGGTGTCTGAGATTGTGGTGTATTATGTGATAGACGTATGACTAACGTCAGCAGGTGAGCTTGCTAGTATAACAACTACCTCTATACAGCATTAAACCACTGTGGTTACTTCAAACCGCCCCCAGGGAAATCTGTTGTATTGTTCTGAACTGACAAGAGACCGGTAAAACCTGTCTATACTGAACACTGTAAAAAAAAAACAGATCTGTGACATTCTTTATTAATTGGTGATGGTCTGTGTCGGGAGTATCTTGTTTTCACTCATTAAAACCTTACTCAAGTGTGTTCAAGCTTTCTTTTATTAGGGTGTTTAAATCATACCACAGCTTTTGTCTTCTTGTGACATTGTGAGCAAGATGTCACCTTGTGTTGTACACTAAATATCAACAACACCATTTCCTTTTGGAGAAGCAATATGAAGCTGCCGCAGTGTACAACCTGATAACCTTTGACATTCTGGGCCGGTTTTCCCGGACACAGATTAAGCCTAACCCTGGACTAAAAAGCGTCCTCAGTGGAGAACGTCCACTGAAATAGATTTTTACTCCAGGACTACTAGGTTTAGGGCTGTGTTCAATCCGTATCGCGGAAGATCTGCGTTATAGCTCAATTGAAAGGCAATGTTCGATGAGACTGCATTAATGGTAAACACTGTATATGTCGGCTCAATCGGAAATGACCTTTTATGTTTTCACGCGGATCTTCCGCGATACGGATTAAATCCAGCCCTAACTCTGTCTGGGAAACCGGTCCTCTTAAATGCAGATTTAAAGTGGAACCACCATTGGGTTTCTATTCACACAACAGTCTCAAGTCTTCAGTCTCTATTCCTCTTCCTCACTCTCCTTCCTCCGAAGACTCATCCTCTGCTTCTTCCAACCACTGGATAAACTTCTGGAGCTGAGGAAGACAGGACATCACCTCTCAGCCATGTGTTTAGGCCTGGGGCCTGTTCAGGACGTACAGTGCCACCTCTAAAAGTACAGAGGCACGCACTTCGGTACGTTTAACTGCCCCCTCTGTTGGAAAACAAATCGCTTTCCCTACACAATGCCTTTGTTGCTGTCATAATGTAAGAAGCCCTGTAAGTGGTACTCACTCCCTGGTTCTTCCGTAGTTGTCTGCTCCTGTCTGTGGTGGTTCCTGTAGAGAACCATTTTAGGATGGCCGCCTCCTCAAGGATCTCCAGCTGGTACATTTTCATCAGCACCTACAGGGAAGGCGACAACAACAGACAAGTTAACATCCAACATCACAATTTAATTTTTTATTTTATTTAAAAAGCGGGTTGGAACCGGTTCAGGGAACAGAACTGAAAATGCAATTTTTTTTTAGAGGAACAGAATCTGAAACGCAAACGAAAGTGATCTATACTGTTCCGGGACAGAACTGTTATTTAAATAATGATGGGAACCGGTTAATTATGTTATTTTACGTTACAGGAATTTTTTTACAGTCACACAAAAAAAAAAACACAACAAACCGCCTATGCAAAGTCCTCACACTGTCACTCAAAGTCATTCCATTGTCTGCCTGCCTGCCGGAAAAATCTTTGCCAGTGTGTGTGCCAGGGTTTCCGTTAGGGAAATGTGGTGCCGGGAAGATTTAAATTCACCGGACATTTGAGAAATTTACCCGACATCCATATGTATTCAGATCCGAACTGGCCATCAATAAACAAGGGATATTGGCCAAATGAGACACATTTGCGTCCTTAAAAAGCAGCCTATAGCAAATTACAAAGACAGTAGCCTGCAATTGGCCCCGCCAAAGTTCTCCTCATCTTAGTCCACTACAATATTAAAACTTCTTCACGTGTACTCTACTCACTGTAGACATAGACCTACTCTTCGTCCTCGAACTTCAATGAAAAAGGCCTCCATCTTCGTAATCAACAGTGACCCCCTCTCTCATTCCCGCTCTCTCCTCAGCAGCAGGCGCACGTGCGCCCAAAAGGAGTGCGAATATGGCGCTGACGCTCATATTCGGGGTGTAGGCTATGATGGACAGCCTCTCCCGGACAATTTGGCCCACCCACCCTCTCACCCACCCTCTCACCCACCTTGACCATAGCAGTCTGGTGTGTGTCCTGCTCCAGAAACAGCTCCTCCACAGCAGACAGACAGTCCAGGTGGTCCTGAGCTCTCTTGATATAGTTCTTAAACACCGGAGACCACTTCTTCAGCAGCTGAGAGGCGTGGGGAGGAGAAGAGAAAATAGGTTATTCTGTGACCGTCTCGCCCTCTGTCCCCCATTCACAGCTACACCTCTGTAAAAGTTGTTTTGGGGTAGAGATAGGAGCTGGTCATTTTTGTAAGTGATTTGTCTGTAAAAATGAAGAGCTAGATAAATAACATATATTTATACAAATTATTGGTTGTAGAACAATTTATTGGGGTGTGGTGGTTGTAGGGCTGTAGTTGTAGGTACTTACAGGCAATAGTAAACCAGTGTACTGTAGGGTGGTGAGTTGCGTCCCCTGCAGTTGGAAGGGGTACTCCAGAACAACTCTGGTAAGAATCTGCATTACCTCCTTGAGAGTGATGTTATAGGCATACCTGGTGGGAGAGGGGAAGTACAAGATCTATACATTGAAGATAGTAGCATGGAGCAACATTTAGCTGGATATGTTCTAATGGGACTGAAATATTATTGCACTTCAACAAAGTTTGCACTTCTCTGTAGAGCACTTATCAGGAGCTGACCACTAGTTACTCTTATCAGGAGCTGACCACTAGTTACTCTTATCAGGAGCTGACCACTACTTACTTATCAGGAGCTGACCACTAGTTACTTATCAGGAGCTGACTACTACTTACTTATCAGGAGCTGACCACTACTTACTTATCAGGAGCTGAACACTACTTACTTATCAGGAGCTGACCACTACTTACTTATCAGGAGCTGACTACTACTTACTTATCAGGAGCTGACCACTAGTTACTTATCAGGAGCTGACCACTAGTTACTTATCAGGAGCTGACCACTAGTTACTTATCAGGAGCTGACCACTAGTTACTTATCAGGAGCTGACCACTAATTACTTATCAGGAGCTGACCACTACTTACTTATCAGGAGCTGACCACTACTTACTTATCAGGAGCTGACCACTACTTACTCTTATCAGGAGCTGAACACTACTTACTCTTATCAGGAGCTGAACACTAGTTACTTATCAGGAGCTGACCACTACTTACTTATCAGGAGCTGACCACTACTTACTTATCAGGAGCTGACTACTACTTACTTATCAGGAGCTGACCACTACTTACTTATCAGGAGCTGACACTACTTACTTATCAGGAGCTGACCACTAGTTACTTATCAGGAGCTGACCACTACGTTACTTATCAGGAGCTGACACTACTTACTTATCAGGAGCTGACCACTACTTACTTATCAGGAGCTGACCACTACTTACTTATCAGGAGCTGACTACTACTTACTTATCAGGAGCTGACTACTACTTACTTATCAGGAGCTGACCACTACTTACTTATCAGGAGCTGACCACTACTTACTTATCAGGAGCTGACCACTACTTACTTATCAGGAGCTGACCACTACTTACTTATCAGGAGCTGACCACTACTTACTCTTATCAGGAGCTGACCACTACTTACTTATCAGGAGCTGACCACTAGTTACTTATCAGGAGCTGACCACTACTTACTTATCAGGAGCTGACCACTACTTACTTATCAGGAGCTGACCACTACTTACTTATCAGGAGCTGACCACTACTTACTTATCAGGAGCTGACCACTACTTACTTATCAGGAGCTGACTACTACTTACTTATCAGGAACTGACCACTACTTACTTAACAGGAGCTGACCACTACTTACTTATCAGGAGCTGACCACTACTTACTCTTATCAGGAGCTGACTACTACTTACTCTTATCAGGAGCTGACCACTAGTTACTTATCAGGAGCTGACCACTAGTTACTTATCAGGAGCTGACCACTAGTTACTTATCAGGAGCTGACCACTACTTACTCTTATCAGGAGCTGACCACTACTTACTTATCAGGAGCTGACCACTACTTACTTATCAGGAGCTGACCACTACTTACTTATCAGGAGCTGACCACCACTTACTCTTATCAGGAGCTGAACACTACTTACTTATCAGGAGCTGTCCACTAGTTACTTATCAGGAGCTGATCACTAGTTACTTATCAGGAGCTGACCACTACTTACTCTTATCAGGAGCTGAACACTACTTACTTATCAGGAGCTGACCACTAGTTACTTATCAGGAGCTGACCACTACTTACTCTTATCAGGAGCTGAATACTACTTGCTCTTACTTACATATCAGGAGCTGACCACTAGTTACTTATCAGGAGCTGACCACTAGTTACTTATCAGGAGCTGACTACTACTTACTTATCAGGAGCTGACCACTACTTACTTATCAGGAGCTGACCACTACTTACTCTTATCAGGAGCTGACCACTAGTTACTTATCAGGAGCTGACCACTACTTACTTATCAGGAGCTGACCACTACTTACTTATCAGGAGCTGACCACTACTTACTTATCAGGAGCTGACCACTACTTACTTATCAGGAGCTGACCACTACTTACTCTTATCAGGAGCTGACTACTACTTACTCTTATCAGGAGCTGACCACTAGTTACTTATCAGGAGCTGACCACTATTTACTTATCAGGAGCTGACCACTACTTACTCTTATCAGGAGCTGACCACTAGTTACTTATCAGGAGCTGACCACTAGTTACTTATCAGGAGCTGACCACTACTTACTTATCAGGAGCTGACCACTACTTACTTATCAGGAGCTGACCACCACTTACTTATCAGGAGCTGAACACTACTTACTTATCAGGAGCTGACCACTAGTTACTTATCAGGAGCTGACCACTAGTTACTTATCAGGAGCTGACCACTAGTTACTTATTAGGAGCTGACCACTACTTACTCTTATCAGGAGCTGACCACTAGTTACTTATCAGGAGCTGACCACTAGTTACTTATCAGGAGCTGACCACTACTTACTCTTATCAGGAGCTGATCACTACTTACTTATCAGGAGCTGACCACTAGTTACTTATCAGGAGCTGACCACTAGTTACTTATCAGGAGCTGACCACTAGTTACTTATCAGGAGCTGACCACCACTTACTCTTATCAGGAGCTGAACACTACTTACTTATCAGGAGCTGACCACTAGTTACTTATCAGGAGCTGACCACTAGTTACTTATCAGGAGCTGACCACTAGTTACTTATCAGGAGCTGACCACTACTTACTCTTATCAGGAGCTGACCACTAGTTACTTATCAGTAGCTGACCACTAGTTACTTATCAGGAGCTGACCACTACTTACTTATCAGGAGCTGACCACCACTTACTCTTATCAGGAGATGACCACTAGTTACTTATCAGGAGCTGACCACTACTTACTCTTATCAGGAGCTGACTACTACTTCCTCTTACTTACTTATCAGGAGCTGACCACTACTTACTCTTATCAGGAGCTGACCACTAGTTACTTATCAGGAGCTGACCACTAGTTACTTATCAGGAGCTGACTACTACTTACTTTTCAGGAGCTGACCACTACTTATCAGGAGCTGACCACTACTTACTCTTATCAGGAGCTGACCACTAGTTACTTATCAGGAGCTGACCACTACTTACTTATCAGGAGCTGACTACTACTTACTTATCAGGAGCTGACCACTACATACTTATCAGGAGCTGACCACTACTTACTTATCAGGAGCTGACCACTACTTACTCTTATCAGGAGCTGACCACTAGTTACTTATCAGGAGCTGACCACTAGTTACTTATCAGGAGCTGACCACTACTTACTCTTATCAGGAGCTGACCACTAGTTACTTATCAGGAGCTGACCACTACTTACTTATCAGGAGCTGACCACTACTTACTTATCAGGAGCTGACCACCACTTACTCTTATCAGGAGCTGACCACTAGTTACTTATCAGGAGCTGACCACTAGTTACTTATCAGGAGCTGACCACTAGTTACTTATCAGGAGCTGACCACTAGTTACTTATCAGGAGCTGACCACTAGTTACTTATCAGGAGCTGATCACTACTTACTCTTATCAGGAGCTGACCACTAGTTACTTATCAGGAGCTGATCACTAGTTACTTATCAGGAGCTGACCACTAGTTACTTATCAGGAGCTGACCACTAGTTACTCTTATCAGGAGCTGACTACTACTTCCTCTTACTTACTTATCAGGAGCTGACCACTAGTTACTTATCAGGAGCTGACCACTAGTTACTTATCAGGAGCTGACCACTACTTACTCTTATCAGGAGCTGACCACTAGTTACTTATCAGGAGCTGACCACTAGTTACTTATCAGGAGCTGACTACTACTTACTCTTATCAGGAGCTGACCACTACTTACTCTTATCAGGAGCTGACCACTACTTACTCTTATCAGGAGCTGACCACTAGTTACTTATCAGGAGCTGACTACTACTTACTCTTATCAGGAGCTGACCACTAGTTACTTATCAGGAGCTGACCACTAGTTACTTATCAGGAGCTGACTACTACTTACTTATCAGGAGCTGACTACTACTTACTCTTATCAGGAGCTGACCACTAGTTACTATCAGGAGCTGACCACTACTTACTCTTACAGGATGCTGACCACTAGTTAACTTATCAGGAGCTGACTAACTACGTACTTATCAGGACTGACCACTACTACTTATCAGAGCTGACCACCACTTACTCTTATCAGGAGCTGACCACTAGTTACTTATCAGGAGCCGTACTACTACTTCTTATCAGGAGCTGACCACTAATTACTTCTCAGGAGCTGACCCCCACTTACTCTTATCAGGGAGCTGACCACTACTTACTGTATCAGGAGCTGACCACTAGTTACTTATCAGGAGCTGACCACTAGTTACTTATCAGGAGCTGACCCTAGTACTCTTATCAGGAGCCTGACCACTACTTACGTATCAGGAGCTGACCATAGTAACTTCATCAGGAGCTGACCCACTAGTTTACTTATCAGGAGCTGACCAAGTACTATCCAGGAGCTGACCCACTAGTACTTATCAGGAGCTGACCACTAGTTACTTATCCAGGAGCTGGACCACTAGTTACTTTATCAGGAGGCTGACCACTAGTTACCTTTATCAGGAGCTGACCACTACTTACTTATCAGGAGCTGACCACTAGTTACTTATCAGGAGCAGGAGCTGACCACTACTTACTTATCAGGAGCTGACCACTAGTTACTTATCAGGAGCTGACCACTAGTTACTTATCAGGAGCTGACCACTAGTTACTTATCAGGAGCTGACCACTACTTACTTATCAGGAGCTGACCACTACTTGCTTATCAGGAGCTGACCACTAGTTACTTATCAGGAGCTGACCACTAGTTACTTATCAGGAGCTGACCACTAGTTACTTATCAGGAGCTGACCACTAGTTACTTATCAGGAGCTGACCACTACTTACTTATCAGGAGCTGACCACTACTTACTTATCAGGAGCTGACCACTACTTACTTGAGAGAGTTGATCTCTAGGACCAGGTTGTCACAGACAATGTTCTCCTCCAAACCTCTCTGTAGTGTCCCCACCACTTCCAACTGGAAAGCTACACAAACACATTCTTGTTATGGCTGATAATATGTCATTTTCGATGTGTATCATCAATTCAACTAATCAATTAATAAATCAATCAGTACCCCTCACCATTGACGTCGTCAATCTCAGGTGAGACACTGCGACTGCGATCCTGAGATTCCTCGCTGGCCTCACTCTCGCTGTCACTCTCTGGGTCAGGGTTCAGCACCAGGCCTAGGGAAACAGGATATATATTTTATGACTGAGGGCATGGACAGCTGGCCTGACCCAGTCTCTTCACACTACCTTGCATGAGTTTTGTTTTGAAAGTGGCCTACCCCATAGACACTGTGCCAGCTCTTCGTCCTCAGTGTCGTCCACACTAGGCTTCCAGATATAACCTTTACCCTCAGGTCCTACCTCTGCTGGATTAAATGCTGAACAGGTGAAACAGGGAGGTAAGTGTACTGTACAGTCGTCAAGGTTTTGCTCACTGTCATGGACATAAATATCACAGCTATGTCCTGAGATACCTTTGACATATTATTTCCAAAAACAGATTTCCATAACGTTGAAATAACAATATAACTTTGGAAACAAGATCAAAATACATTTCATATCAAAACATCGTTTGTAGACTTATCAATTGTTGAAGCATCGCATAATCCTTTCCATAAACCCACTACAGTAATAAATACTGAGAATGTGTAGAAGGTATAGAGCAGGGGTAGGTCACCCTGGTCCAGGAGGCACTTCATGTTTTTTGATTTAACCAACCTGGAAGATCAGCAGGTATGTTGAATTTAGGCATTCACTGAACTGATCAATTAGTTCAGCTGATTCAAATAATCAAAGGTTGATGATGAGTTGGTTATTAGAATCAATTAGTTATTAGGGGGGGGGGGTATACTACTAATACACACCTTTCTGCCTGGTCTTGTCTTTGCTGTGTCCCACCTCCTGGTCATCACTGAGGAACTCATCATCATCATCTTCCTCCTCTTCCTCAGGGTGATGCATGGACACCACAGTCCCTTCTGGGAGGGACAGGTTCGGACCAATCTCCACCTGGGGAAACAGACAACATGGAATAATGGAAAAAAATACTCCAAAAGTACTCAACAGTTACTATTTTGGAAGCTTACTGTAGCTAATAACATTTTGATATTAGGAAAGAGTGAAAGCAAAACAGTTAACATATTTAATGCTGGCGTTTACAATATGTAGCTAATGTTTACATAAATATTTCAATGAGCACCTACAATGAGCACCTACAATGTAAAGTACTTCGAGAGCTACTGAAAGGCACTACAGAAACAACAGTCGATTATCTCTATTCAAGAGGGTAATCTGTTTTCATTAAAAACAGTGTTATTTGGTTGTAAAGACTCAGTTGCCTTACGTTGTATGCGAGGACACACTGTTTGTTAAGGCGTACAGCCTCTTTGACCACCGCCCCGTCACACACTACTGACTGGTGAATCTCTACGTTGCTGGAGATGTCTACGTTGTTCCAGATGTAGCCCCGGTCCAACACCACGTTGTCCCCTACAGAGAGACAACAGAGAGAGGCGGTAAGAGTTGGACTTTCCACTGCTAGGTTCTCCAGGATCACTGGCATCTTGGTAGAACCTAGCAGAGTAGTAATGCAGAGCAAAGAGCAGATTGAAGGAAAACTGCACCGTGGATTCACTCAGAATGTTTATATTGAAAGGACAGGTGCGGTTCCCACGATCTAACCTCATGACTACCTATGGTGGTGAGGTTCCCACGATCTAACCTCAGTTCTGTACCATAGGTAGTCATGAGGTTAGATCGTGGGAACCTCACCACCACAGGTAGTCATGAGGTTAGATCGTGGGAACCTCACCACCATAGGTAGTCATGAGGTTAGATCGTGGGAACCTCACCACCATAGGTAGTCATGAGGTTAGATCGTGGGAACCTCACCACCATAGGTAGTCATGAGGTTAGATCGTGGGAACCTCACCACCATAGGTAGTCATGAGGTTAGATCGTGGGAACCTCACCACCATAGGTAGTCATGAGGTTAGATCGTGGGAACCGCACCACCATAGGTAGTCATGAGGTTAGATCGTGGGAACCGCACCACCATAGGTAGTCATAAGCTCAGGTGTTAGCTTCACTACTGTACCTACGATAGACACAGGGTTCATACACATTTTGACAGATGGAATATCATGACTTTTAACAACATTTCCATTACCAACACTTGGCGGCGTCTCTCTGTACGTATAAATAAAGTATGTGTGATGTGGTATCAACACTGGGAGGCTGCTCTCTGATACCATGTCGTTCAGCAAGGCACTTAAAATCCACAAAGTAGAATACCTGCTGTATAAAACAATGTGGCCAACCCTCAGTCCGGAGAGCTGCTGGGTGTGCATGCTTTTTGATCAAGCCCTGCTCAAACACATCAGAGCCAGTTTATCAAGGTCTGGTTGAGCAGCTAATTTCTAAAATGTGGTTTGTTAGAGGGGGGCTGGAACAAAAGCCTGCATCTATTATCTCTCCTGAAAGATGGTTGACCACTCTTGATGTAAAACATTTCAACATTACAACCAAATAGGTTATGCCTTTTGAAATAATTCGCTCATTCAATATATCAAAGATCAAATAGCTATGGCAGGCAACAAATATTTTTATTCAGATGAAGCAAGCCCATAAATTTTCTTCAGGAAATGTACCTTTTCTAGTTTAGTCATATTTATCTTAGCTACATTTTTACATTTTAGTCATTTAGCAGACACTCTTATCCAGAGCGACTTACAGTTAGTGAGTGCATACATTTTTATTTTCATACTGGCCCCCCGTGGGAATCGAACCCACAACCCTGGCGTTGCAAGCGCCATGCTCTACCAACTGAGCTACACAGGGCTGAGATACCTTGGAAGTGTTTACTTTGCAGGCTGACTAGCATCTATTGAGTTGCAATGTCCCATACATTGGATGCCCAACTCAACTGGAAGTATCTACAAAACAAGTTCAAGCCACATAACCCCAAAGGCTACATCTAATATTTTTTCCTAAAATTCATGTTCACGGTTATCAAATGTTTATTTTCAAACACATGATTTGATTCACCGCAATTGAACCTAATCCCAACTAATACAATGTCAAAGTGGAATTTTGAGTTTTGGTCAAAATTAATAGTTTAAAATGAATCAATCAATTGTTTAAAAAGTGAATCAACTTTGTAGGCCTAGTCGCGAGTGTGGCGGAAAGTTTTTGGGGCATGACGAAACAGTCATGCTAATAAGTCAACAGTGAAGAGGGTGAAGATATGTTTTGAATTGGCTCTAGTCAGTGCCATCATAGTTATAGGCAACACTGCTGCAATTGCTACTAACAGTCTCAACGTTTAACTAGTAGTCCTCCGGGTAGAAACGGCTATGTGTCTCTCTTGGGAAAGGCTACCTACTGTCTGTCTCTTATCATTAGTTTATAGGAAACGGCCTACTGTCTGTACTATCTGGGAAACGGCCACCTGTCTGTTCTCCTTTGGGAAACGGGCCTACGTCTGTCTCTCCTTGGAAACGGCCTACTGTCTGTCTCTCCTGGGAAACGGCCTACTGTCTGTTCTCTTGGGGAAACGGCCCACTGTCTGTCTCTCCTTGGGAACACGGGCCTACTGTCTGTCTCTCCTTGGGGAAACGGCCACTGTCTGTCTCTCCTTGGGGGAAACGGCCTACTGTCCTATGTCTCTCCTTGGGAAACGGCCTACTGTCTGTCTCTCCTTGGGAAACGGCCTACTGTCTGTCTCTCCTTGGGAAACGGCCTACTGTCTGTCTCTCCTTGGGAAACGGCCTACTGTCTGTCTCTCCTTGGGAAACGGCCTACTGTCTGTCTCTCCTTGGGAAACGGCCTACTGTCTGTCTCTCCTTGGGAAACGGCCTACTGTCTGTCTCTCCTTGGGAAACGGCCTACTCTGTCTCTCCTTGGGAACGGCCACTGTCTGTCTCTCTTGGGAAACGGCCTACTGTCTGTCTCTCCTTGGGAAACGGCCTACTGTCTGTCTCTCCTTGGGAAACGGCCTACTGTCTGTCTCTCCTTGGGAAACGGCCTACTGTCTGTCTCTCCTTGGGAAACGGCCCTACTGTCTGTCTCTGAACCTATGTCTGTCTGGGAAACGGCCTACGTCTGTCTTCTGGAACGGCCCACGTCGTCTCTCCTTGGGAAACGGCCTACTGTCTGTCTCTCCTTGGGAAACGGCCCATGCAGCTGATGCACCATTCCAATCCTGGTTGATGTTGACTTTTATTTATAAAATATTTTTAAAAAAACGTGCCTAAATAAATAACATTAACAGACATTGTGAAATACATTTTTATGACTTTTCGGACTAAAATTTTCCATGACTTTTCCAGGCCTGGAAAACACCATTTCAAAATTCCATGACTTTTCCATGACTTTGTCGTGACCCTGTAGAAACAGTAAAACAGTATAATACCTATGGTGCAGTTGTTGCCGATGACGCTGTTCGATATATGACAGTTGGCCCCGATGCTAGTGTCTCGACCAATCAGAACGTTCTCCTCCATCTGGCTGCCGTGCCCCAGGCTGACCCCCGCGCCCCGGTAGACGTTATGACGGGAGTGGGTACACCCCTGCCCCCGCTGGTCTGTGAAGTTCGCCTCAGGAGTGACGGGATAGACCCAGCGACGCACCATGTCCGAGGAGACGGAGTCGTACATCTGCAGGTTGGACACGCGGGCTCCATAGCCATCCTGTGTTACATACAGGTGGATCTGGTTGCCAAGGATCTATAGAGCAGGAGGAGGAGGAGGAGATGGTAGACTTGTTTTGCTCGGTAAGGATGTGTATAAGCTATGGTTGGGGCATTGCTTGGGCTGTTCTGGTTTCAATACAACACACATCTTATATACTGTAGCATAATCACTGAATTCGTCTTCTCATACCTCTTCATTGACCAGAATCCCTCTGACAAAGTCATTCCTGGTCTGGTAGTCAAAGTTGTCTGTGAAGAGCTCAGCTACCTGTAAACAAAACCATATACAATGTCTGTAAGAGCCAGTGTCCTGTCTTCCATACAAGAGACTTGCAGCTCACCTGGTTAAAGACGGGCAATTCCACAGTAAAGGAATTAGCTGAGAGTCAGATTTTTCACTTTAACATGTATGCCAAACAAAAACCATTGAATTCAAAAGTTTAACATTCCATACAACTCTATGCACAATAATTACTTTGAACAATTTACAGAGTAAACAAAAGAAACAACAACAAAAAACATTTAATGGAACAACTGCAAATGCGACCTTTCTGAGGAAATTCTATGGTTTGTTAAACTTTGAAATCAATGGTTTTTGTTTTGTATACATTTAAAACTGTTTCCCGCGTAATTCCGTTACCATGGAATTGCCCAGACAGTAGATTACCTGTGGGGAACAGATACTGATGTGGCAGTCCAGCAGATCATGTCTAACTTCAAACTCATCACTTCCATGTTGGAAAATGTTCTGCAACGATACAGAGAAAACACAATAGTCAGTCCAACACCGCTGAACATCCACACATTCTGAAAATATATTTGTGTTTGTATCTATACTACTTGCTGTGAAGTAAATTGACCTTTTGGGGGATACTATAGTTTTATAAACACATCATACTCTATCCTATCCCTCGTTACCATGGGGAACTGTTCCGTTACCATGGGGAACTGTTACGTTACCATGGAGAACTGTTACGTTACCATGGAGAACTGTTACGTTACCATGGGGAACTGTTACGTTACCATGGAGAACTGTTACGTTACCATGGGGAACTGTTACGTTACCATGGGGAACTGTAGCTTCTTAAGGCCCTGTGTCTTCTGGTAGTGGAGGACCCGCTTGCTCTTGCTGTCCATGGCAACAATCACATCATCCTCCTCGCAGCGAGACTTGTGGCCGGGAGAGGACTCTTTGAACACCATGGTCATCACAGAGATGTTCTTGTCCACCTTACGCCGGTGCCTTCATGAACAACATAAATCCTAGTGTTAATACATGATCACTATGAAAAGGTATAGAAATAGTCCTACCTGCCCATTGGTGTACTACATTGTATACACCTGATTCTACTAATCAGCTGCTCATCACAATCTTGAATAGCTGGATCAACTGTGCTAGATTAAAGCAGGGCTGGTGCAAAAGCTGACACACCCAGTATCTGTAGCTCTCCAGGAAGAGGTTTGGCCAACTCATGAGGATTGGCCACCCAAACCCTCCTCCTGGCGAGATGCTGGGTGTGCAGGCTTTTTCTCCAGCCCTGTTGTCTAAGGTCAAGGGTCAAATGTGACTGACCGGTGCTCCTGTAGGGCCTGGCTGACGTCGATGTTGGACACCACGTCTCCGTAGACCAGGATGAAGTCGTTCCTCACCAGAGTCTTGGCATCCACATCCCGCAACACGTCGCCAAGGGAACGGTACAGATCAGAGGTGATGATGTGGACCACGTTGGGAGAAGTGGGACGACACCACTTGGACTTACTGTTGGGAGGATGAGGGAACATTTATATTGAGAAAACCCTGTGTGTGTGTGTGTGTGTGTGTGTGTGTGTGTGTTTGGGCGCTAAATATTTTCTATGACTAGTTTTTCCTGGTCAGACAGTGTGTGTATGTGTGTTCTTACAGCAGGTGGTCCTTGATCTTGTTGGACATCCAGCAGCAGAAGACGAATGTCTCCTGAACCCCAGTGGATGTTAGGAACTCCAGGGTGTAGTCTATCATGGCCACATTGCCCAACGGTAGGAGAGCCTGGATGGCACAAAACACAGCAGAGATGTGATGAGTGCAACAATGACCATCGGGTTTGGAGTCTCACATATAAAGCATAAGATGGTGTCAAGAAATCTGAAGTTCTGAGTGATGCTGGCTAGCAATTACGCGATATTTGGTTTTGGATTCCAAGATTAGACTGATGACAACTTTATGTAGCCAAGTTTATTTTTTTATTTTTTTTTAACCAATGTTCAGTTATTAGCAGGATGAATAAATTAACATTGTCGTTGATATTGTGCTTTTGTCACGATTAGTCCCGCTACATGGATCTGATTGTGTCCCACTTAAAGAGATGATCATATATCATGCCATCTGGAACAGTGCTAAATTAGCTGGCTCGCTACCTGACTAAGTTACCGACAAGAACTGCTGGCATGTGGCACCCACAGATTTACTCCCACCAATATTACTAACTAGCTAGCAGGAAAACATATTGACCACAATTGTTATGAAATGTTGCATTTCAAGAACACGAGGTCGCTGCAAGAACGGTAGCTAACTAGCTAGCTATGCTAGCGCTGTCATCCATTGACAATAACATGCACTTAGCCACCTAGAGTTTTCGAGCCGCTAGCATGTACTATTCAATCCATGGCATCATCACATACCCTAGGTTGGTCTTTGGAGATGGGGAAAAACCTCCGGTTGAAGCTATCGGCGACTAACACAGCTTGAAGCGGCTGCTCCTCTTCCTCCTGCTCACTGGCAACGTTACCTTTCTTCTGTTTTCCTCCTCTGCTAGACATGGTGTTTGTTTGACAACTAGTTAGCTAGCTACTAGCAAAAATTTCAACAACCTTTCGTCATACAGTAACAACCACAGATAGAACAATGAGCCAGATGTTGCACCGGATGTATAAATCTGAAGCATCCGGTTAGCATTTCCACTCACCACCAAATATGGTGACAAGAGGAAGCCCAGTGACCGGCGGTGGGAGAAGATGGAGCGAGATGGATTTTAGCCGACATTCTGCTAATTTTCTCATTTACGAAACATTTGATCTCAATACAGTTATCTGTTCCCCAAACTAAAATCTATATGTTCCTAGGCGTTCCCTAACGGAAATATGCAAATACATGCTAGAACGCGCAAATAGGATCTCGCTAGCTCGTGCTTGGCTCTGCCCACCTCCTTGCTTGTTCTGCTCACTATGATTAATTTGCTCCCATTGGAAACGACAGGTTGTGGTCTATCTTGAGTTAGTTATAAGAAATCTGTGGTACAACTACGGCGTCTGCATTGGGACATGTCCTCTTCTTTGGTGGGGTTTATCGGAGGTTGGCATCCAACGTTAATGGCGCATTATCTCCACCTACTGTACTGGAGCGTGGGCTTTGAGATTGAGAACTCTGTTCTTCTTACATTTTACATTTTAGTCATTTAGCAGACGCTCTTATCCAGAGCGACTTACAGTTATTGAGTGTATACATTTTCACTGGCCCCCTGTGGGAATCGAACCCACAACCTTGGCGTTGCAAGCGCCATGCTCTACCAACTGAGCTACACTTCTTCCATTCCCTTAAACCAGTCTTAAACGAAATGGAATATAAAAATAATATGCCATTTAGCAGACGCTTTTATCCAAAGCGACTTACAGTCATGTGTGCATACATTTTTACGTATGGGTGGTCCCGGGGATCGAACACACTACCCTGGCGTTACAAGCACCATGCTCTACCAATTGAGCTACAGAGGACCACCTGAAGGTTTTCTTAACAAATCAATTAAACTTGGCTCCTCAATAACATTATTCCCTTAAACATCCCATATTGCTGGTTTAACAGATGTTAATCGTACTCTCCCTGCGTTGTGTTTAGTTTAAAGAAATCACCCCAGTCAGTGGTCCCAGTTTATCTTTATTTATTATCTGTGATTAAATAGGAAACAGCACGTTAGTTGCGCAGGGCTTTAATGATGTTGATGGCTGTCGATGGTAAAATCCCTTGCATCATATTTTTCATACTGGGGTATAAACAAAATACACAAATACAATACAAAATATGTGTAAATACCTGTGATTAAATAGGAAACAGCACTTTAGTTGTGCAGGACGTAATGATGTTGATGGCTGTCGATGGTAAAATCTGTAGCATGAAAACAACTGTGTTAGCAGTGAGTTTATGTGACCATTTCATCGGTGCATGCTAGCTAACACACTTATATACAGGAAATCATATACCAAAGCACATCCCAGGAAGCCCCTCAATCCCTAACAGGTACCATATACCCACACAGGTATAAATCAGGAATGTACAGCGAACTTGTACACATTGTAAAATATAGAAATAGAATACAGGATTCAGAACGTGACCTACGCCTTGCATCACATTTTCATACTAGGGAGACCTGACGTTCGATCTCCCCTTATCTGCAAGCGGGGCCAATAACAACACGCCTTATTGTCATCGGAATTGAACCAACCAATAAGAGTGCTTGAATATTAAAAAACACATTTCTTTAGGAAACATAACCAACCCTGTTACACTGACACTGAAATAGGATGTGTTCCACAGTCTGGTATCTCCTCCTGGCAGTGATCACACTTCCCGTGGAGAAAATGTTTTTATTTTATTTATTTTTTATGTACTTAATATGCATGTTTAACACAATGCCCAACAGTTTATCAAACTTTTGAGATAAACATTTTTTAAAGTATTGGAAGCGTTACTTTTTCCACCACGACCAGTGATCAGAGTTTTTACCCCCAACATTTTTTTTTTACCACTACATCACTGCACACTTCCCAGTTGGATGTTTTCCTACTACTGTAATGTCAAAGTGCTGTTGAGCCTTGTGATGACACTTTCCTCCCTTCTCCAGGATCAAATCAAATCAAATTTGATTTGCCACATGCACCGAATACAACACCTTACAGTGAAATGCTTATTTACAAGCCCTTAACCAGCAATGTTAAGTAAAAAATAGATAATAAGTAAAAAAATTGTTTTAAATAAAATAATTAAAGAGCAGCAGTAAAATAAAATAACAGTAGGGAGGCTATATACAGGGGGTACCGGTACAGAGTCAATGTGCGGGGGCACCGGTTAGTCGAGGTAATTGAGGTAATATGTACATGTGGGTAGAGTCCCTTTCCCTTTTCCGCCCTGTTCCACAACTCTTGCAAAAAAAAATGTAACCACTGTTCTTATTAACCTCTTATCTTCTGGTTTTTATTGATTGTCATTTCCATGTTGACATTAAGATGTTTGAGAGCCTGCTTGGCGAGAACATCCACTTCCTCATTCCCTGTCACTCCCACATGTGCTGGAACACACAACTACCCCGATCTGTCTAGCCCTAAACAAGCAATACAAAATCTCATATAACACATCTTTGTCTGCGCAGTGACACAAATTAATTTAAACGAATCAGTGCTGCACAGGAGTCAGAACAGATGAGTACCCTGTTTGGCCGCACCTCTTCCACCCACTGTGCAGCCAATATGTATGGCTGTTGGTGCTGTCATCTTCAGGACAGGAATACCGGCTTACTTAACGGAGGAATAAACACACATGTTCATCGTTGGTGTTTCAACCAGAACGCGGGAAAATGCCCTTTCTTTATTTTCGCACATGCGCAGTTGTACATTTCTCATAGGGCATAACTGTACCAGTGTAAGAACACAATTTATAACATATTAGTCTATATGTTAACACCCCCACTTGCTCTTATACTGTACAAGTCGTATTCAACCTAACTATCAACACATTTAGCTTACAGTTATACATCTCACAAATGTCAGTTTACATTCCAAATATATAACCCAAGAATTTTTCATTTTTGAACTTCGTTACAGGTTTAGTCAAAATATCTGCAACCATGTCTGCCGTTGGACAATATTCAATACTTATTTTGCCATCACTGAGCGCAGATCGAATGAAATGATATCTGATGTCAACATGTTTACATCTCTGACGACATACTGGGTTCTTTGACAGAGCAATTGCACCTTGGTTATCTTCAAAGATTGTTACTGGTGCATATTGGCACTCACTATCCATCTGGCCCAAATTATCAAAATGATCCTTTCTGTTGCAGTTTGTTTGTTGTAAACACAGTGATCAGCTGGGTTCTGTGTAAAACCATTTTCACTAAGGTGATCATGCAACATTTTGTTCCAGTTCCTTCCTGACTGTTTCAGGCCGTACAGTGACTTGTTCAGTTTGCAGACTAGTTGCTCACCTGTATCTGACCTGACTTCAAAACCCTCTGGTTGCTCCATGTACACTTCACAGTCAATAGGAGCATGTAGATATGCTGTTTTGACATCCATCTGATGTAACTCTAAGTCATACTGAGCTGCTAGCTGCATCAAACAACGTACTGATGTCATATTTGCAGTTGGAGAAAAAGTCTCCTTATAGTCTATTCCTGCCACTTGACTATATCCCTTTGCAACATATCTTGCCTTGTATGTCTCAGTCTCATCTGAATTGTTTTTGACCGCATAGACCCACCTGCCCCCCACTGCATTTTTACCCTCTGGCAGTGTGGTCAATGTGAATGTATCATTTTCCCTAAGGGAATCCATCTCCTCCTTCATAGCAGTAGCCCAAATCTCTGATTTTGGTGAAATCATTGCTTCTTTGAAGGTTTGTGGTGCATTGCACATTACTCTGTAGCAGTAGTCAACACTAGGTGGTATCTGGTCATCACACTTCACTTTACACTCATAGTCTTTTAAGTACTGTGGCTTCTTCCTCTCTCTGTCTGGATAGCGTGGACTCTGACTATCTGAAGTCTCGATTTGCACATCTTGTGTCCCTTCGGAATTTTGATCTGCCATCTTGGCTTTTGGCATGGGGGATTGAAATCTCTCCCCATGAAGATCATCACTCATTTCCAAATCTGTCTGAGTTTGGCGTTCGACTACACATTTTGTAACGAACTTGACTAATCTGTTTTTAAGAACTTTTCCAGTGTCTGGGTAGTAGACTAGGTATGCTGGACTATTTTTATCATACCCGACAAAAATACCCTTTTCACATCTTGAGTCCAACTTTTTCTTGTTCTGTCTGTATGCATAGCAAACAGATCCAAATTCTTTCATCTTTGAAAGATCAGGCTTTCTCCCAGTAAACATGTAGTGTGGAGTCTGTCCTACACGCTTATTGTAACACCTATTGCGAATTACTGCAGCAGTCATTACAGCATATGTCCACAATTTCTTTGGTAGGTTGCTCTCAAGTAGCATGCATCTTGCCATTTCAAACAGTGTTCTCCAATTTCTCTCAGCAGTCCCATTTTGATGGGGTGAGTAAGGGGCTGAAGTTTCATGTCTTATGGCATTCTTACTGAGCAGTGACTGGAACTCTTTGGCTGTGTACTCTGTGCCATTATCTGACCTGACACACTTTATTTTTCCATAAGGGGCCACATCAGCAATAAACTTCTCAGTAGCTTTTACAGTATCACTTTTTGCTTTTAGGAAATACACAAAAACTGTTCCTGAATAATCATCCGTAAATGCTAGAGTATATCTGAACCCATCTTTCGCCTCTGGCTCAATAGGGCCAGCCAAATCAGTGTGCACAAGCTCAAGAGCTGCTTTTGCCTTTTCATCAGGCTCTCTGTTTCTGCTCTGAACAAATTTTCCCTGTGTGCAGATTTCACAGTTGAGGGTAGATTTGTCAATCTTACCTGTGATTTTCATTCCCTCTGTCACATTTTCTAACTTTGACACATCCTCAAAATTACAGTGGCCAAGAATTTTGTGCCATGTGTGAATATCATAGCACCCATGAC